GCAACACTAAATAATGATAAACATTAATGAACGCCCGGACGGCAGGAGGAGGAGGCAGCAGTGGGTTCACTCCAGCCTGGACCGCTGACTGTTACACTGAGGGTTCAAGGCCCACATCACGGCCCACATCACAGCCCACATCACAGCCCATATAGGAAACAAAGACGACTCAGTCAAAAAGTTCTAAGACGGACGATTCGTCTGATGAAACAAATGTTTTAAACACGTTGAAACGTCACAACTTTTCTCTACAATTTCAATGATTTAAAATCTGTTTCCTGAGGAGGAAATAAGCAAGAAAGAAAATAAACCTTTCCTGTGCAGATACGTTACTGGAATTCCCCTTCATTGGAGTAATTTGGTTTAAAATAAATCAGTCAAAAAGTTCTAAGACAGGAGGAAAAAAACGTCATTAAAGAATATGACACTCCATTAAAAAAAAAGAAAAAAATTAAATATTCTATACACAAATATAATGAAAATATTACTCTACAATTATTTGGAAATTTTAACAATGGAGGAGAGAGGTGAGGGGGAGGAGAGAGAGGAGGGGGAAGAGGGGTGAGAGGGGAGGGAGGGAGGGAGGTAAAGAAGATTTCCTCCTCCATTATTATCTTCTCTATTGTTTTGCCAAATTAGACAAAGAGAAAAAAACACTACACCAGGGTGTACCAGTGTGTACCAGTGTGTACCAGGGTGTACCCAAGTACCATCAGTGGTACACGTGCCAATGGTTGAGAAACACAGTTTCACAGTAAATGTATTTGGTATCTGCTGCTCACAGTATAAAAGCAGTAAGAGGGTTGTGGCGGGGGGGGGGGGGGGGGGGGCGGGGCGTTCAAATGACATTTAAATTGTTTTGCCATTCTCCATCGCTGCGGGGGGAAAATCTGTTTTTCTTCATCAGCGTGCTCGTCACAAACACAGAGAGAAATAAAAGAAAAACAAGTGAAAAGCACAAGGTGATGATGTCTGAACACAGGCAGACGACACACACTGTCTGGAACGGGGGGGTGAGGGGGGGGGCACCATTAAAATGCAGTCAGACTGCCTCCCCAGCAGCACCAGTGTCGTTACACATCTGTGTGTCGTACATATTTTCAGTTTTAGTGTCAGGCAGACGGCA